TGTGTGTGTGTGTGGTTTTGCTGGTTGTGTTTTTCCTGGAGGAGGTTGGGTTGCTCTTCAGGGTGTTGTGGGGTGGGAGGGGGTCAGGGCTCACTGTTAACGAGTGAAAACCGAAGTCTTAAACCCGAAGTCCAAAGCCCCGTGAGCCCTACAAGAGCTAAATCCTATAAACCCTCGAAGCACGACAACAGCTATAACCTGTAAGCCATAAGCATTAAACCCCTATAAGCCCTGCCAACCTTTAAAGCACCCTAAACCCTATAAGCCCCAAACCCCCCTCAACGCTGAAAGCTCCAAATCCGAAGCGCTAAATTCTACAAGCCGACGCCCCAAACCCTACAAACCCTATCAATCCTAGAAGCCCTGATAAACCCTTTAAGCCTTATAAGCCCGGCCCTAAACCCTATAAACCCTTAACCCTAAATGGCCTCCCTCATCTTTCAGGAGCCAATCAGGATGCTCCTCACCGGCTGAGGGCAAAACAAGGAGCCTAACGCAATGACCTCGGCCAGGGATGTAAGGTTGCTTTGTAGCCATTCACAGATTCGTTTGAAGGCGTTTGGGTTGTTTAGGGTTTTAGACATTTAAACTTGTAGGAGTTGGGGGTTTCGAATTTCGACCATCCGAAACCCTCAACTAGGCGCAAACTGGCACAAGTCCGGGATCCTAAATACCGGCCTCGTTTATGTGGCTCTCGGTATAAAGTGGCAGAGTCGAGTGGCCGAGTGGCTTGTCAAGGTTCAGCTTGTGGGTTTAGACCTTACTACCTTCTGGTGGTTTTCAATTTTTCATCGCATTAGATATACCACTACTTTAGGCATAACCCTGCAACCCCCAACCCTACCTTCCTAGCACGTTCACCCTACAACCTGAACCCTTTACCCGCGCCTCACCAAGCCTTACACTACAAGCTCGAAGCTTCAGCTTCTTAAGAGTCCAACCCCTACGCCCTAAAGACCCAAATCCTAAACCCTAAATAAGTTAAACCCAAGGAGCCTCAAGCCCCAAGTCCCGAAAAACACGAAAATGCAACCCAAATGAACCTAGCCAAGGCTCCTGTACCTCAAACCCCCGAAAGAACGTCGTACCATAGAGCGCATATGGGTAGTTCTCTAAATTAGGGTCCCTTTTAGGGTCCTGTTTATAAGGGTGTCGTACTATATTGTGGACCTAAAAAGGGACCCTATTTTAGAAAACTACCCATATGAAACCCATGAAAGCAACTGGGCTCGAGTCCTGGGCAACCTTCGACGCAGCAACCAAGGAGGCGGGAGCGAGCCACCTCATTCCAATCAGCGGACGAGGATTTAAGGGGTTTGTGGGTCGGTAAGAGGGATTGAAAGGTCGTTCGGGCTTCTACAGGTCTTTTGAGTTCTGGAAGGCTCTAAGGGGATTCTTGAGGGTTCCTTTGACGATGTTCCAGACCTTTTGATCTCTTAAAGATTCAGCTTCCAAGATTTCGTTGATGGGTTTGAAGGCGTGGGGCTTCGCGGCTTCAGGGAAGTAGATTGTAGATGGTATGGGAGGGGCTTTCTTCCTGGGCGTTTCGGGACATGAAGAGGTCCCTCTCTTAGGACTGAACTGATTAAACAAGACCTCACTATGTAGCCACAGGATTTTTTGCTTGTGAGGCCTTGCCCGAAATGGCATTGAGGTTTACCCACCAGGGTCCCGGTACCTAGTACTCGTATACTCCCCTAGTTACTCATCTACATTCCTACTATCCAAAATCCTAGCGCCGAACTATTAGGTACTCTGGGCCCTTTCGAACCCCTACTTTGAAGACTTCGCACCCTGTGGGTTTAGGGTTTAGGGTTTAGGGTGTAGGGTCCCCATGAAACCCTATAGAACTCTTGGCGCGGAACCCCTGGGCATTTGCTACTTTGGACCCTCAGAAGACCCTTGGACGCGCGAGGAAAGCCCTGAGCCCTGAAGCTTCAAGAAGACGCCCCGGAAGCCTTGTGGGTAGTTCTCTAAATCAAGGTCCCCTTTTAAGGTCCGTTTTACAAGGTTGCCGTCGACTTAAAAAAGGACCCGAATTTAGAGAACTGCCCTTATAGCAATCTTAGCAACCTTGGTGCAATTAACCCCTTAAACTTACAGGAACCCTCAAAGAAGGGAATAGGCTTAACCCTGGACCCTAGCCTAGCCCTAAACCTTCAAGAAGACCCTAAACCCTAGACCCCGGAACCCCTAAATCCTAAATGCTAAAGCTTGAAGTCAAAGAATCCCAGTAACCATGATAACACCCCTCATGAGCAGCCCCAGGACCTTAAACCCTAAACCATAAGCCCTAAACCCTAAACCTCAAACCCTAAACCCTAAGCCCACAGCCCTAAACCCTAAACCCTAAACCCTAAACCTTAACCCCTAAACCTTAAGCCCACAGCCCTAAACCCTAAACCCTAAACCTTAAACCCTAAATCTTAACACCCTAAACCCTAAACCTTAAACCCTATAAACCCTAACGAAGACGACCAGGAATCCGAGGAGCAGTCCGGCTGTGAGTCCGGCCGCCTTGATCGCCTCGACCAAGGGCTTCAGTCCGTTCCTCGGCCCAGGGGGGCTTTAGGGTTTAGGGTTTAGGGTTTAGGGTTTAGGGTTTAGGGTTTAGGGGGCTTTAGGAATGATTTTCATGGGGCTTTAGGAAAGAAGTTTTGGGTTTTGGGGTTCAGGGTTACGGGCTTGGGTTTGGGGATTAGGGTTTGGGCTTTGGGGGTCAGGGTTAAGGATTTGGGGTTTAGGAATGAAGTTTTGGGTTTTGGGGTTCAGGGTTACGGGCTTGGGTTTGGGGATTAGGGTTTGGGCTTTGGGGTTCAGGGTTAAGGATTTGGGGTTTAGGAATGAAGTTTCGGGTTTTGGGGTTCAGGGTTAAGGATTTGGGGTTTAGGAATGAAGCTTTGGGCTTTGGGGTTCAGGGTGAAGGATTTGGGGTTTAGGAATGAAGCTTTGGGCTTTGGGGTTCAGGGTTAGGGTTTTGGGGCTTAGGGATTAGGGTTTGGGTTTTTGGGTTTAGGGTGTGGGGCTTAGGGTTGAGGGTCAAGGGCAGCCCCGAACACTAAAGTATGAAACCCAGCAAGCCCTAAACTCTAAACCTCAAGTAAGTCCCAGTGCAACCATAACCCGCGAACAAGGTCGCGTGCCTCCGGAGGATGGATTAGAATCCAGAAATGCCACACATAAAGAAAACCGGTAAGCCTTGTAACAGATGCTGCGAAAGGCTCCTGTTGACAAAGACTCCATGTCTCCGGAGTTTAGGGTTTAGGCTTAGGGGTTTAGGCCTAACTCACGCCCCGGAGCCCTAAACCAAACTCATACAGCTCGTCGAGGACGCGTTGACGCAAGACCTGCAAGTTTTGATTGCAGCCAGGAGGCGGGAAACGCTGCGGGTGTGGATGAAGCCAATCTCCCCAAGCAGACTGCCAGCCTTGCAGCTTTCGCTTAGGATCTGAAGTTGTGCTTTACCTGAGGATCCTATAAGCCCAGTGGTTTAAGGGTCATATTACCCCATACCCATGGGAGACAACCCCCTACCATTCTGTCCGGTTTGCAGTCAGGCTTTCACTAAAGCCGAGTTGTGTCGGCCGATATGGGGTCCCCTTGGAGCTGCTGAGTTGGGGCTTTATGGCCCTATAGCTCGGCATCGGGAGCTTGGGAGTTTCGTCGTCATAGCTGTCGTTCAAGTTTAGGCGGTAATTAATTACGCAAAAAAGGCTGAAATAAGCTGAAACCACATTGAGCATGCCTGTACCCTGCACAGGGGTAAAGCTCATCAAATACAAATGAAGTGTATTGGCTAGCTTCCCACAAACCTCTCAATTATCAGAGTGCCTGTTTTCTGCTGTTTTTTTATGCGAGGGACCTCGAAGCAGAAAACTGAAAACCTGCAAAAGACAAAGGAACTACAGTGGATCTCTTAGCTCATTCTAGGAACAAGAACCCCCACCCCCCCCCCCTGTCCACAGTACCCTAAGTACCCTACGGACCCTAAGTACCCTAAGGACCCTAAAAGGGGTCCGAAGTATTTTTGTGGGAAGGTCCGGACTCTCCTTCTCTCCTTCAGGGCAGCCCTTGGGTCTCTTTGGCAAAACATGGACCTGCTTGCCGTTGCACCAGAGAAGCCCAGATATGTTTAAATTAATAAACACAAATAAACAAATACATCTATATAAATGTATATGCATATGTATATATATATATATATGTAGATCCTCTAAGACCCGTTTATAGCTTAAGCTCAAATACAACTGTCGGATACATGTTGGAAGCCCCTAGCTTTTGCACGCCAAGGAGCCATCGTCAAGCTGGAAAAGGTTGAGCTGCAGGTCACCTCTATTGCTGCGACGACCAGGGAGTCTGGCAGGCTGCTAGCTCAATGCAGAAAAACAAGGGCCATGCTGAGTTTAGAACAACTTAGCTATAGAAAACAACTCCAAAACCCCAAACCCTAAACTCCGAACCCTAAGCCCTAAACTCCGAACCCTAAACTCTAAACTCCAAAACCCTAAACTCTATAAGGCTCAGCCAGGTGGCCGGAGTCGAGGCCTTTGCTCTTCAACTCCTCCAAGGAGCCTCACTTAGGATCTTTAGGGTTTAGGGTTTAGGGTTTAGGGTCTAGGTAGGATCTTTTTGGACTCTGAAGGTCTCTCAGAGCATCTTGAGTGGTTTAGGGTTTAGGGTTTAGGGTTTATTCCGGCTTCGGGCTTGTAGTTGGGGGTTTGGGTGTAGGATCTGGGGTTCACTGTCGGGCTTCGCACTTTCTTCAGCATCTCGGGACACAACAATGGTGTAGGATTTGAAGGTTTAGGTTTGCGATAGCATTGAAGACCCTCGTAGGGGATGAAAAAGCAAAGAGGCCTGGACATTGAGGATTTCAGGAGATGTAGGGATGCTCGATAAAGGCCCCATCCCTGCCAGTGCGAACACTAGCGGCTCAGCATCAACGCCTCATCGACATGCGGGCCATGGCAGTACCACGAGCACCAGCCTGTGGGTTCTGTAGAGCTTCTAAAGCGGTTCTTGATGGCTCCTTGAGTAGTTTAGGGTAAGGGTTTAGGGTTTAGGGTTTAGGGTTTAGGGCCTTACTTCTAATAAGGCTGTTGTATGCCTTACCGCAACCGGTTATCCGGGTGATTTTATGAACCAGCACACAAAGCACTCAGGCAGCTCTACTACAAAAGCTTGCAATCTCAAATTCTGCCTGGAAGCCATACTACCGCTCTTGCAACGAAAACGACCTACATATGATTTCCAAAGCAAGCTTCTGAACCTTTGAAGTCCGACTACAAGGCGAACCAAACAAGCCTTGATCCCGAAACATGTTGAAGGACGTAAGCACCAGATCAAGAGCTCCCGGACTAAAGCAGAGAAGCTAATTGAAAGCCTAAAGCCCTAACCTTCAACCCCGGAGCCCTCAGGAGTGGGTGCTGCGTTTTCCTGCACCCACCGTGTCTCCCCCGGTGGCGTGCCACGAAACGGGGTTTCAGGGTGGCTACGAGCAAGAAAACCCTCAGGGATTTTGAGGTCTTGCGTAGACACTCTTGGGCATAAACCCCCAAGAGAAGTGGCAAAGGAAAGCCCTATACCCTAAACCCTAAACCCCTAAACCCCTAAACCCCTAAACCCCTAAATCCCTAAACCCCTAAACCCTACATCCC